CTGCCAATACAGACTGCGTACGGTCGGTGAGGAAGGAGGAGAACCACCGCATAACGGTGCCTCCCACTCCTAACTCACCGAGACGCCGCAGCATGATACCGTGGTCTACGGTATCAAAAGCCGCTGAGAGGTCCAAAAGAACAAGGACAGAGGAATACCCTCTGTCCCGGGCCCTCCAGAGATCATTAACCAACGCGACTAATAATAATAATAATAATAATAATAATAATAATAATAATAGTAATAGTAATAGTAATAGTAATAGTAATAGTAATAATATAATAGTAGTAGTAGTAGTAGTAGTAGTAATAGTAGTAGTCGTCGAGTTGGAAGGGTCTTCTAGTCCAACCCTATGCTCAGGCAGGAAACCCTATACCATTTCAGACAAATGGCTCTCCAGTCTCTTCTTAAAAACTTCCAGTGTTGGGTTATTCACAACTTCTGGAGGCAGGTTGTTCTACTGATCAATTCTCTGTTTGATTTCCATCCATTGCTTCTTGCCATGCCTTCAGATGCTTTGGAGAATAGCTTGACTCCCTCTTCTTTGTAGCAACTCTGAGATATTGGAACACTGCTATCCTGTCACCCCTAGTCTTCTCTTCATTAAATTAGACATATCCAATTCCAGCAACCCTTCTTTATATGTTTTAGTATCCAGTCCCCTAATCATCTTTATTGCTCTTCTCTGCACTCTTTCTAGAGCAGGGATGTCAAACCAGCCCACGGACCGGATGCGTCATGCTGAAACCACGCCCACCCCATTACCGGCAATGAAAAAAAGTCATAATATGCCGTGACACGTCACGTGACCTGCAAGTTTGACACCCCTGTTCTAGAGTCTCAACATCTTTTTTACATTGTGACCAAAACTGGATGCAGTATTCCAAGTGTGGCCTTACCAAGGCATTGTAAAGTGGTATTAACATTTCACGTGATCTTGATTCTATCCCTCTGTTAATGCAGCCTAGCACTGTGTTGGCTTTTTTGGCAGGTGCAACACACTGCTGGCTCTTATTTTAAGTGACTGTCCACTAGGTCTCTGAGATCCCTCTCAAGGGAGGGATGTGATTCTTCTCAAGGGAGAAATCTGTGAGTTCCCAACATAAAAGGATAGTTTATTTTTATCAGAATTGTCACACTGTTATGAATTTGGCAGATATGTTTTTTGGTACCCCTCCCTCCCAACGTTGATGAGAATGAGTGGATTTGACAATCACCAGAGACTCTGATTGCTAAAGTATCGGCAGTTCTAGGAAAGAAACTGATTGATTATCCCCACAGAATAACACATATTCCCCACTGCACATTTCTCAGGAATTCTATTTTCGAATTCCTGTCTGATATAATGGAAGAAAAAGTTGGGTCCACCAAGGCATCGGTGCCCTTCCCGGATGCCACACAACACACTTTGCCTGAATCAAAACCCAACCTAAGCCGAAACACATCCCTGATAACTTCTTCCAAGCGGAGAGCTGTGTTGCAGCAGCAGCAGCAAAGCGTTTCGGAGCACTCTTAAGATAACATTTTTTACTGTATTTGCTGGACCGGACCACCATCGTTCCTATCTCACCTGCGGGAGCAAAAGCAGCAAGCTGCAAGCGACCGAAACACAACGTCACTAGCCCTGCCCTTTCGCGCCTTCAAAATCTGTGCCCCGGAGGCAAAGATTCCCTGGAAAGGGAATTGTCTCCGCTGCCGACGAGATCCTAGCCCCGGAGGGAAAACTCTTGTCTTCCTGCAAGCGAGACCGGAGGAAGGTCGTCCCCCTGCCGTCTTTCGGGGGACGCTTCCCCGCCGTTTTTCGGGCGGCAGAGAAACGAAGTCTCGGTTCCTGGGTGGGCCGGGTGGGAGGGGGAGGCAGTTCCTGGGCGGTGCGAGGAGCTGCCAGCTCCCACCCCCTCTCCTCCCCTTGAGTACCTGCAGCAGGCAGGGGCCGAGTCCCAGAGAGCCCCGCTCCGGAGCAGCACAGAAGCCCGGCTCCTGCACCTTGTCGTCCGCGCTGCCGTCCCCGGGTCCCAAAGTCCGTCGGAACTCGCGCGCACCGCCCATCGCCGGGCGAGAGAGAGAGGCAGCGCTAGCGGCGGCATGGCCGAACCGCCCAGGCACCTTCGCCGCTGCAGGGCGCCGCTGCTCCTGTTCTGCGCTCTGGCTGCGCTCGGGACCACCCAGCCGCAGCCGCCGCTTCTCCTCCAGCCGGCGGAACCGGACGCTCTCGACGGGGGCGCCGCGGGGATCGTGGTGGCTAACCGCGGGCTGCGCGTGCCTTTCGGCCGCTCCGTCTTCCTGGACCCCGCCCGCGACCTGGTGATCCGCGTGCAGCCGGGCGACAAGTGCACCGTGACCGTCTTGGAAAGCGGGCCGCCGCCGGCGCCTCACCGGCCCGGGGCGCTCTCCCCGCAACGCTTCCCCTGCGATTTCGGTCCCGGAGAGGTGACCTACACGCACTACGGGTCTCGCAGCCCCGGCCGCGACCGCCTCAGCCTCCAGCTCCGCTACGACTCTCCCAGCCGCACGTTGGTGGTGCCTTTCGCGCTGGAGGCCGAGGTGCTCTCGCAGCAGCTGCGCCTCCTCAGCCGCAACCTGCCGCTCGTCGTGGAGAAACTGCGGGGCCTCAGCCAGCCGCTGGACGCCAAAGTCCTGGCCTTCGCCGAGGCGGGAGAAGCCGGGCGTCGCCACTGCCGCCTCACCGCCCTCCCTCACCCGCCCAGCAGCGACAACCACCTGCCTTCCTACGGGCGCTTGATCGACCCCCGCGGGCGCCCCCTGCCGCCGGGCTACAGCAGTGAGTGCCGCCGCTTCCTGAGCGAGGGCATCCGCTACCAGCACACGGCTCCCACGCCGTCCCCCAACCGCGACCACGTCCCCATGCGGGTGGAAGTGCTGGAGGACAGCGGCTCTCCCGAGAGCCTAGGCCAGCAGGAATACTTTCAGGTGGTGGTTCGGATCCGGGAGGGTGCCGAGAATACCCCACCCAAGCCCAGCTTTGTGGCTTTGCTCATGATGGAGGTGGACCAGTTTGTACTTACTGCCATCACCCCTGATATGCTGGCTGCGGAGGACTTGGAGACACCTTCAGATCTGCTGCTATTTAATCTCACCTCCCCCTGGCCCAGTGTTGGAGAGCAGGACGCGGCAACTGGTTACTTAATAAGTACTGATGATCCCAGTCGGCCACTCACTTCTTTCACTCAGCGGGAGTTGAGGGAACTGAAGATTGCCTACCAGCCTCCTACAGTGGACTCAGACCAGGAGCGCCTCTTCCAGCTTGAGATGGAGGTGTTGGACCCCGAGGGTGCCTCTTCAGACCCCTTTGCTTTTGTGGTGGTGGTGAAACCTATGAACACGTTGGCTCCGGTGGCTGTCTTTAATCGCATTGCTGGCCCTCAAATGATGCTTTTTGAAGGCCAGTCAAGGCCACTTTCTGACAATCTTGTAATCAGTGATGAGGACAACTTAGAGGAAGTGAAGATTTGGGTCACAAGAGGTTTAAAACATGGTGAACTCAGAGTTTTAGGTACATCTCCTGGTCGTCATTTTTTTACTGCAGCAGAGTTGGAAGCTGGACAGGTGATCTACCAGCATGATGGCAGTGAGCACAGTTTCAGTGATAACATTATCTTCCGCATGGAGGATGGACTGCACCAGGTGGAGTTTTTTTATCCAATTACAATTGCCCCTGATGATGATCAACCACCACTCCTCAATGCCAACACTGGCCTGGTCCTAAGTGAGCACCAGGTGGTCCAGATCTCACCCTTTGTTCTCAGTGCTACTGATATAGACTCTGATGACTCAACTATTCGGTTTGTTATTAAGGAGGTTGAAAGATCTTCAGATAGATCTGTCCCAAAGCATTTTGGTGAACTTCTGTTGCGTCAGGAAGAGGTTCCATCATCCTATGAAAAAGAAGAAGATGTGGAAAAAGATCATAGTGATACATCTTCCTGGTACTTTATAGACAGTGAGGGTCTGTATGAGAAGGTAGTGACTGAATGGCTGCAAGAGGATATCCTGGATGGAAAGTTGTTCTACAGGCATCTTGGACCTCATAGCACGAATGTAATGATGGATCAGTTTGTATTCTATCTCCAAGATGATAATGATCCTCCAAATCAATCTGGAGAACATGTGTTTATCATCAAGATACAGCCAGTAGATAGCCTATCTCCAGAACTATCCCCAGGGACAACTTTAGAGATGACTGTCCTGGAATACCAGGTGACACATTTCAAGAAGCATTATCTGTGTTATACTGATTTGGACACAGATGACCGGGAGCTGAAATATACAGTGCTTACATCACCAACTGATATTGATGAAAATCACCCTGTCTTGGCAGGTGAAATTGTATTGACTGACAACCCTCTGATGCCCATTACCCATTTCACTCAAGCACAGATAAATCATCATAAAGTTGCCTATAGACCACCAGACCAAGAACTTGGCATTACTCCAAGAATAGCACAATTCACTTACAGTGTAGAAGATGCAGCTGGTAATTCTGTGCTAGGCACTTTCACTTTCTTCTTGCAGCCAGTGAATAATCAGCCCCCACAAATAACCAATGCTGGTTTCACAGTGTTTGAGGGGCACAGCTTCTTTCTCACCACCACTCAGCTAGATGCTACTGATAAAGATACAGACACTGACCGAATTGTCTTCGCTTTAACTGAAACACCTCAACATGGCCACTTGCGCTACCTGGAGGAGGGATTGATGGTACAGGGTGAATCTTTTCTGTTAGATGACATTGCTAATGGTCGCATATCCTATCAGCATAATGGTGATGAGTACAGAAGTGATTCCTTTCAGTTAGAAGTAAGTGATGAAGTTCATCTAGTACCAATCACAGTTAAAATTGCTGTTCAACCAGTTGATGATGAACGTCCCAGCATCATGGTCCCTGGTAGTAATGGACTTTTGGGGGCCTTTATTGATGTTCTGGAAAATAGTGCTACTGAAATAACTACTTCTCTTATCCAGGGCACAGATGAGGATACTGATGAACTGGCATTAACTTTTATTGTAGAGGATCCCCCTAAGCTGGGTAGTATTTTAGTGGATGGAGTACCCTCTAAAAGATTCACTCAAGAGGATCTCATAAGCGGAACAGTTGTTTATGCTCACAATAGTGGAGAGATTGGATTGAAGAAGCAGACTGATTCTTTCAATCTTACTATCTCAGATCGGTCCAGTGAGTGGGTGGTGAGAGGAAGCACAGTAGAAGGAGTACGTGTTACTGTAACTCTTTTGCCAGTGGACAACATTGCTCCTGAAGTTATGTTGGGAGAAGAACCATTTACTGTTCATGAAGGAGGAAAGAATGTGCTAAGGTTAGAACTGCTGGTTGTGGAAGATCTTGATACTCCCAGAGATGATATTCTCTGTACCATTCTAACACAGTCCACTGCTGGATACCTAGAGAATATCTCTCCAGCACCAGGATCTGAAAAATCCAGAGCTGGGATTCCCATCAGTGCATTTTCCATCAAAGATATTCGTGTTGGTCATATCAACTATGTTCAGAGCATCCATAAGGGAATAGAACCTTTAGAAGACAGATTCACTTTCCATTGCTCTGATGGTATTAACTTTTCACCACCTCAGTTCTTTCCAATTATCATTACCCCAACCAATGATGAGAAGCCTGAATTGTTTGTACGTGAGTTTGTGGTATTGGAAGGAATGAGCCTGGTAATTGACACTCCCATTCTCAATGGTGCTGATGCTGATATTCCCCCAGATGAATTGCGCTTCTTTATAACTGTTCCTCCAAAGCATGGGCAGATTGTTAACCAGCTGGCTACAGGTACTGTGTCTGTTACCAATTTCACTCTGGAAGAAATTCAGGAAGCATCTAGCATTATGTATGAGCATGATGACTCAGAAACTAAAGAGGACTCTTTCAAAATCCAGCTCACTGATGGCTTACACACAGTGGAAGAAGAAGTGTTAATAATGGTGATTTTGGTTGATGATGAAACACCCCGGATGTCCATCAATGATGGATTAGAAGTAGATGTTGGGGAATCTAAAGTTATCACCAGTCAAGATCTCAAAGCCACTGACATAGACTCAGAAGACAGGATGCTTACTTACATTATTCGTTTACCCCCGAGACATGGCTTATTGCAGCATATAAGTAAAGAAAAAGAGGTGCTATACAACATTACACTTGGCATGAATTTCACACAGGATGACATAGATCATAAATATATATGTTATACACATACGAGCCAACAGGGACTCCGTGACTTAATTAAGTTTGATGTCACTGATGGCATCAATCCTTTGATAGACAGATATTTCTACATTACTATCAATGGCATTGATATGGTGTTTCCCGAGGTGGTCAATAAAGGAGTCACTCTAAAAGAAGGTGGGAAAGTGACTCTCACTACTGATCTTCTCAGCACAAGTGATATCAACAGTCCTGATGAACTACTCAGGTTCAGCATCACCCGGGCACCAAGCAGAGGTCATTTAGAGAATTCTGACAACCCTGGAGTTCTTGTCACCACCTTCACTCAGCTTCAACTAGCTGGAAACAAGATTTATTACATTCACACTGCAGATGATGAGGTGAAGATGGATAGCTTTGAGTTTGAAGTGACTGATGGCTATAATCCAGTCTTCCGTACTTTTAGAGTCTCTATTACTGATGTGGACAATAAGAAGCCAATTCTAACAATACATGACCTCATAGTTCAAGAAGGGGAAACCAAACTGATCACACCATTTGAACTAAATGTGGATGATAGGGATACACCTGACCATCTACTCCGTTTCATAATTACCCAAGTTCCTGTACATGGTCAGATTATTTATAACAACAGCTATTCTGTCACCAGTTTCACTAAACAAGATTTAAATGAAAATATGATCAACTATAAACATTATGGTGCCGAAATTAATCATGATAGCTTCTCTTTCACTGTAACGGATGGGACACATCCAGATTTTTATGTTTTTCCTGATGTCATCCTTGAAACACGTCACCCACAGATGATGAAAATTCAGATCAATGCTTTAGACAATGGAATACCACAGATAGTAGTGAATAAGGGTGCCTCTACATTGAGAAATATAGCAACTGGACAACTGGGTTTCCTAATAACCAGCAAGTCTCTGAAGGCAGAAGACAGAGATAGTCCACACAAATTATTGAAATATAAGATCACAGATGGGCCAAAACATGGATTCCTCATTAATATTGGTCTAGGAAATACAAGTGTCAAATTCTTTTCCCAAGGTTAGTACTATATTTAATCACTAGTTTATTCATTATTTTAGAAGGTTGGTGCTTCTAAAACAATGAAGTCTGTTTAAATGTTGTTTTAAAATCATATTCACATCTACAAACAATTTACTCTTTGATAGGGCCATTATACCTATCCAATCCATGGGTTTATTTAACTTGATTTGTTGCCAGGATCAAAATTAGCTGGATTTATAATTCTGCCAAGCCAAAAGCATTACCTGCCCTATAATGGCTTAAATCCAGCAGTAAGGAGCTCAGTCCTTTATAGGTCAAGTGGCTTTACGCTTTGGACACAAATACATTTTTAAATTGCCATAGATTTATACAGTTTATTAAAGAGCATTCTCAGATGTTTTGCAGTGTAAAATATTTAACTTTCAAAAATTCTCAACATTCTAAAAACCTGTGATATATTAACAAATATGTAAATGCCTGTAATATATATTACCCAGTGAAATAAGAAAGCAATTTTACTGTGATATCACTCCATTGATTATCACGCTATTATTCAGTGATTACAACCAGCACAACCTATCAATTTTATATTTCATTCCAGGTGCTCTAAGCATATACTAATTAATAGCTTGGATTCACACATGAAGACTTAACGTGACTTGTTTGTTCTGAGATTTGTAAATGTTCTGTGTCTTAGCATAATGTGTGAACTGCTGTGGCTTGTTCTATAAAATCTGACAGTACTACGTGTACACTCCGCTATAGGTTCTAAATGAAAACAAGTGACTCACAATCATTTAAACCAGTCTTCTCCAACCTGATGCTTTGCAAATGAAGTTCCATAATCTCTTTCTGGACATTGAAGTCTGAACACCTGAACAGGTCAGATTCATCCAAAGGGCATCAGGTTTGGTACTCCAGATGACAAAGGGGGAAATATTAAACCTTTCAGATGTTCATATGTTGTGTAGGATATCTAGACAAATATAAGCTGATTCTAAACAAACAAACAAACAAACAAAACCAAAGGGGTAAGTTTAACCTGTATTGAAAAGATTTTGATGTCAGCATTGCAGTGACTTGTGCAATTTTTCTCATTCCATCAGCTGATATTGATGACATGAAGATCTGTTATGCCTTGAAAGAACATGAAAATGCTACGAGTGATATCTTCTATTTTTCAGTTGAAGATAGTGGTAAGATTTTCTATTTTTTATAGTGGATTGCTAGGTTTAAAATGATGTGCACATGAATAGTGGCATCAAATATTGTGAATTCAGGTTGCACAAAATATATTTCTTGTCCTGAAACTATGCTTTATTAAAACATAACTAAGTCCTTTTGTGCTCAGTGGTATTGAAACACATATATTGTACATACAAGAATATACAATAATTGGAAATTACCATTTATTTTGGCTTGGTATAAATACATTATTACACCTTATTTACAGATTGGAAATGGCTTATTTAAAGACAATATTATCAGTGTGAAACCTGGTTTAGGAGGTGAAGAAATACACTGTAACATCCTCCAGTGTCCATGAATTGATAGGAAAGATTTGAATATTTGTGATGTATTTATTTTCAGTCAAATGTGATTATAATATGGCACTTATGCAGATATATGACCCCAAATATTAGTTATACATTATAACTGGACTTTTAAAATGTTATGTGGTTATTATTGGTGAACATGTGTTTCTTGTAAATCCATCTCATCTCTATGGCAGGAGGGGTTCAATATTTTTCTGGCTAAGAGTCAGCTGGTGCTCTAAATGTTGTTCCAGAAGTTGCAATCCTAAAATTAGTCATGACAAAGAAAGGGGGAGCACAAGAAACTAATTTTAGGACAATGCAGTATTTCAGATTTGATTCCAAAAACTGATTCAGGGTACACAGGTGGACATCTGTTTGTAATTCTTTAAAGCACCCATTTTTTTTCTCAGCCAGCTTCAAAGGGCATTTGATACGGAAGAACTTGTATCTGCTTTAAAGACTTGCAAACAGGGCTAGATTCATACTACCCATGTATTCTGAAGCACCTCAAATCCCAAAATGCTGCACTGTCATTACACAATCAATATAACTATTTCCAATATATTTAGTCATTTCCACTTCTGTCCTATTAAAATTATGATTTGGTAGACATTTTTGGAAGATGGGCAGAGCTGTATCTATGGCATGGGGTAGTCAGAGAAGGAAATGCAGATTCAGATCTACAGATATCTTTTAATAAATATATGATTGAGAAAAGAAAGCTATGGAACAATATATGAAAATAATCATGTATAATCACTTGATAAGACTAAAATCCTGGCAAGATATTTGTTAGCATTTTAATATGTATTTGGCTATACTAGACAATATTTTGGCTATACTAGAAAGTATGAGTAGTCATCCCCCAACTTGGCCACTTTCCAGAATGCTCAGCAATGGAATAGTGGAACTTGCTAAGGAATTCTGGGAGTTGAAATCCATACAGCTGGAAGGCAGCCAGGTCATGGAAGACTGCATGATATGTATAAGAGTGTAATATGGGAAGAGCTATATTGGAATAGCCCAAAATCTATTTTATCCTCCATTCTGTTCCCACTGTAGCCTTTAATATCCATTAGAGTAAGTGATAATTTGAGATATATCACATTCATCATGCACACAATTTTGTTTAGATCCAGTAGGATTTCCTTTCATACAACCATGTATAAGATTGTGATAAGGTATATATACTTTTTTTTAAAAAAGCCATTATGAGCTACAATTTTTATGATTTATCAGTAAACTCTAATGATAACAATGATCACAGACTATTATTATTATTCCTAGATTTTTAAAGTAAAGTCACATGCTTTGGTAATTTTGCCTTCAGGCAAAAATATTCTTATGATACAATGTACAATGAAATATTAATTGTAGTTGAAATTTCTTATTTGGAGAATGTTTGCATTACATTCAATATTTCAAAAAATGGAGCAAAATGTGGCACTTCTTTATATTCCAAAATATATTCTATATATGTTTGTGTTTTCTGAAAACCATGTGAGACAGAATAGCTGTTTAAAATTAATGCTGGATCTCTGTTAAGCAAAACTTTTTACTAACTTGTTTGAAATCCATATGTACTAAAGATATATAAGATGAATATGATATCTTTTATGCACACAGTATATAAACTTAGTAAAAGTGCAACTATCTTTGGAATAAACAGTAATTGATTTCATAAGGTACAATAATGTACCAAAGATGAGAAACTAATATTTGAGGTTATATAGAATGAAAACACATGCATTCATCAGAAGTTTCTTAATGGATCTGAGATTAATGAAGGTAATAGATAAAGTGATACTAAAGCTACTAATAGGTGATAATTGGTTTTAAGAACTGTAGGACTAAATGTAATATGATGTTCGGTTTACTGGCAGAGCAGGAAGGATATGCCCTCAGGTGCATTATTTCTAATTAAAATAGATAATGCAACTCGCTATTTGTGTATTGCATCAGTGCATAATAATTAATGTGCAAACAAAAATCTTGTGGAATAGAAATTGAGTAACAGGAGGATACATTTAGCTTTCAAAAGTAGTCAGGGAGATTTGAAATAATAAATTATGATAATATCTCGCATAGTAATTCTTCTAATAATGCAAAATATAGGATAAGTGAGGCAGAAGTCTTCATTTATTTATTTAGTTAATTAATAAATTTATATGGCCACCTGTCTCATATACATGACTCTGGATTAGGAATATATTGGTTCTAATAAATTCTGCAGGGGTTGCAGCAGTGGTTACCAAAACTGGAAGGTAGAGATGTGCAATCACTTTATACCAATGTGCGGAGAGAGAGAGAGAGAGAGAGAGAGAGAGAGAGAGAGAGAGAGAGAGAGAGAGAGAGACACACACACACACACACACACACACACACACACACACACACACACTCAGGGTTGCTGGGAAGAAACTTTAAGGAAATAAATAAATTGGAAAAAATAGATTATCTATTGTTTTTTTCTGCTCTCATTAGTAAACAGTGATTAGAAATAAATGAAAGAGACACATCTAAAGAACCTGCATGGAGTTTTCCTTAAAAGTTTCAAAGTACCTGATATCTGTATGTGATTTACCACATCAGTGAGATCAACTCCACCCAATACTTCCTCCCAGAGAGCAAGGAGAGAATGATATGGAGAAAATGCATTTGAAGATGACAGGAGTACCATTTCGGCATATATTCATCATTTGATAATCTAAGATAAGGGCGGTCCCCAAAGGCTGAACCTCTGGGTATTCCTTTAGAGCAGTAACTTCCCTATGTGTATTGTCCCCTTCCTCCCATTTCAGACTATGAGGATGTTTGGGGGAGCAGGGATAAGAATGTAGCTGTGGCACTGGACTTAGATGTGCTGCTGTGGCTTCTATTTCATTAGAGTGACCAATGATATGAGCAATTGCCTAAATAAGGCTAGGCAAGCAGGATAGCCAGGTGGTTGCTTATACCCGGACGATCACACTTTGTCAAATTTACTTGTTCATTTTCTATACCCAGATTTAATGGGAATTCTTAGAAACAGAAAGTGAGTTTATATCATATTGATGTATGAAATCTACTAGATGGCAAAAAATAAGATTTTCTTTGATTAATCAAATAATTTCTATGCCCTACCCAGCAGGTGGCACCTTAAAGCCTTTAGTCATTTTACAGTTTGGAAGGATCCTCCTTTTAAAAACAATTCTACTACAGTAATCAATAATGTGATAAGAAAAATGGCTTATAACATGCACTCCCACTAATAACAATGAGAGAAAAGTATTGAACACAAGCCAAGAGAAACAAAACTGCTAGAAAGAAAGTATAATAAGTTACATAAATCAGCGTTGGGTATTCCAGTGATATGGAAAGTATATATGTGTGGTTTTCTGGGTCATGGTTTTGTGTCATGAAGAAGCTAATATTTGGCAAGCTTAGTTGTGTCCTAGAATTAACTTAAAATACTGCTAACTATATTTACAAATCAGAATAATAGGACATCATGCTTAGTTCTTTATTGCTTCAATTTATTATCATAATATGTTGATTTGTATATTGTCTTAAACATTGATAAAAACTGAAATAATTGCATAAAAACCTTCCAATGAATAGCAAAAAATTGATTGGCATAATAATTTGTGTTTCATCATTCTGTTAGATAAGTTAGCAGACTTTTATAGGAGCTGAGATAGTTTTCTTATTATTCAATAGACCATCTATAATCTCCTTTTGAAAATCTATTCACTTAAAATTTTAATGTATTTTTTATTTTGCTTACTTTAAGAAGTTGTAAAGTATGTTGAAATAAGTGCATTGTAAACAATGACTTGTCAAAGGTTTTTCATTTGGAATATTCCTTTTTTCAAAATACCCTAATGAATTGTCTTGATATTTATTTCTACTTTATTAGAGGAAAATAATATATAGAAGTTGGTACAAATTCTTTATCTTATGAAACGACTTTAAGTGTATTACCTAAAAATCTCTTTCTATCAAATATCATCAATGTAAATACAGACTAAAAAGAAAACAATTTCCATATTAGCTATTAGATAGCATGTTTTGTTCGTCATATTTATAAGAAACACTTGCCTTATTAGGCAGAAAATATGCCAATCCAGCAATACCAAAAAGTTGGAGACATCCCAAGAGATGTATTCAGATATTATTTTAAATCTGAATTGTTCAGTTGCTAGCTATGCAGCCTATCTGCAGGAGTAAACCATAAGCCATGGTTCCTCATTAAGAATAAGCAAAACCAATCTTTGTGTGTTGGGTAGAGAAGAATAAGAAACCACCAAGTGACACTAGACTCCTTGTCATTATGACTCAGAGTGACCTGTTCAAGGATAAATAACTCAATCTAATTACCTCAAAATTTTCAAGGAAATCTTCTTCCCACCCAAGGAGATCATGCAATGGAAAAAAATCTTCTGGGCATCAGATATGTGCACTTGGGCTTATAAGATCCCTAATAATCAACTAAAAAGAGTTATGGATGGTAACAGCATCAAGTAAAAGTTATCAGTTAAAAATGAGCAGCACTGTTCCTTTTTTGTTAAATGCTGGACAGCTGTTCTGCTAGTATATTCTTGTTAATCTTTGACTTTTGATCTTTCAATATTCTGGTGAAGCAGGATTTCCTGACCACATTGGAGGGCTAGCAAGGA